GTGTTTGGCTGGGGGCCGGGCTGGGGCCGGCCAGGGGTGCTCAGCCAGGGGTGCTGGGCTGGGGCCGGGCCGGGGGTGCTCGGCCGGGGGCCGGCGGTGCGGGGCCGGGTGGTGCTCGGCCGGGGGCTGGGCCGGGGCTGGGGTCGGGGGCCGGCGGTGCAGGGCCTGAGCCAAGCCGGGCAGGAGACGCCGGGGCCAGAGCTGCGCCTCCTTGCGCCCCCCCCCGCCCCAGCTTGCCTGCTGCTTCAGGCTTCCCGCGAATCAAATGTTTGCGGGAAGCAGGGGAGGGGAAGGGGCAGGGGGCGAAGCGTCCAGGGGAGGGGGCGGAGTTGGGGCGGGGGTGGGGGCGGGGCTGGGACCCGTGGAGTGTCCTCTTTTTGGACACTTAAAATATGGTAACCCTAGTCAGTCAAGGGTGAGATCCCTGGTCATAGAGCCGGTCCAAGGCCTCTGCACCAGCTCACTGAGCCATGTGGCTGGCTCCCTGCATCAGGGGAACGTCACCGATCAGGACTCCGGGTTTCCTATATGGAGCTAGACCATCGCAGGCATTCCTCATTGTTAAAACAGCCCCATGGCTCAGGAGCCCTGTGTGAAACCACCCAGCCCACAGTGTGTTCTCCCAGCCCCTCCTTGGGCTCCTGCCCCCTCTCATTGGGCACTCCCTACCCAGACAGCCCAGTGCCAGCGCTGCTCCATGCCCAGGGTGGCCCCTGCTCAGTACTAATGCTGCTTGTTACAGCTTTGTGCAGATGGAAATGCCCGGGACCTGCTCAGCCCCAGAAATCAAGCCCTGCATGTGCTGGATGTCTCCCCGCTGGGTCTGTACGTACCTGAGCCCTCATTCCTGCTCCTCCCAGGGCATTAGCAAGAGGCTTCCAGTCCCCAGCACCAAGCTGGGCAATAGAGGGGCTAAGGCCACAGTGTGGGGATGGTTTCAGTGACATCTCTGAAAGCTACACGCTGCCCTTGGCCAGAGCACGTGGAGCTTGGGCTTGGGGTGCCATGGCAGAACTGTGGGTGTGTGGTCAGGACTAGAATAGGGAATAGTGCTCAGGACTGAGCATTGGAGGTGGGAGGGCAGGACCAGGAGAGCAGGCTATGGAGCAGGCCAGGACTGGGCACCTTTGGCAGAGCAGTTAAGAGCCCAAGACTGGACAGGGGTGGGGGGACTGTGGCTCAGAATTGGGATGCACTGCAGAGCTGGGGGTGGGAGCGCAGGACAGCAGGGGGTGCACTGCAAAGCTGGGGATGGGAGTGCAGGAAAGTAGGGGTGCACTGCAGAGCTGGAAGGAACCCCACCCAGCACGCAGCCACTGTCCCTTCCTCACCCAGGGACTTTGAATCCTTCTGTTTCTAAAGCACTTTATTTACTCAGGGACAAGCCTGCAGCTGGATAGAAGCCAGTGGAGAGGGGATGGGCTGGGGGCTGGCTGGAAGAGGCCCATTCCCAGCTGCTGGCAGCAGGGGGGACATGCCACGACCGTGCAGCCAGGGGCAGCTGCTTGGTAGGGCCAGCATTGTGCTGCTCTGCACTCACTCCCATTGCTGGTGCCACCTGGCAAAGCCCGGCTCTGGGCAGGCAGAAAGCAGCTTGGCTGGTGGCCTCTGGAGAGTTGTATGGGGAGGCCTCCCGCTCCAGTACTACTGAGGCACTAAGGCTGCAGTGGGAGGAGGCTGGGCTCCATCCCCCAGTTGCCTGGGGCTGAGGGACAAGGTGCCCCAAAGGCCACTGAGCAGCTGCTCTGCTCTGGGAATGGCGCCCAAGCCTGGGGGCATGTGAGGGGGTGCCCCCTCCTTAGCCAGGGAAAGGATGGGAGGAAAGGCCTGGGTGATGAGCTGCAAGAGGGAAGAGCATCTCTGATGTTGGAGAATGTGTTGACTCCACAAGCCTGTGGCCCCAAGCTCTGCTCATCACGTGGTCTGGTAGGACCCAGGGTGATTGCAGCCAGGGGAAGACCTGGGAACCCCCCCGACAGCCTCTCAGTCTGCACAGGGACTGCCCCACCCCTGGGCTGGGGTGAGAGCTGATCCTGTGGGCCGGGGTTGGGGGTGATGGAGCTAGTCCCTCCAGAGCATGGGCCAAAGGAGGAGGGGGACGGGAGGAGATCCAGAGGGTTTGGTTGCTCTGCCCCATGCGGGGCTTGTGCTGGTTCCCCCCCTGTGCTCTTTCACCCAGAGCCTCTTACTCCTGGCTCTCTGTTTCTAGGATGGTGGAAGAGGCAAGTGAAATTGTGGTGTCCAACTCTACAGCTGCCTACAGCTTCTATGTGAGGGGGCTGGAGGACAGTCCAGCATTGTCCCAAGGGTGTTCGCAGCAGTCCCAGGTGGAGCGGCAAGGAGCCACGTAAGGGTCAAGGCTAGGGGAGGGCACCCCAGGGTGTGTGTACTGGTGGGGGGAGTGGCTCTGGGACTGCTACTGCAACTGTACATCTTCTGTAAGGGACCCTACATGCTCCTTGGCCATCTCCTATCCACTTCCCAAGCAGGCCTGGCCCTGTTTATCTGGGTGAATTCCCAGAGCACAGGTGGGTTGGCTGGCTGCCATCTTTGAGAGCTCAGAGCCAGATCCCAAGGGCTCCCCAGCCAGAGCTTGAGGGGCTGTGTGTGCAGAAGAAGGGGACTGGAAATGGGACCAAAGGGGCTTTCCCAAAGCCCAGGAAGGGGATGAGGTAGAGAAGCTGCTGGCAAGATCTGAGCACTAGCCCTCTGGCCCCTGGGAGCTGGATTCGGCCCTGGGGCAGTAGATCCTGCACCCCCCTAGACAGAGAAGCTCCAAGGCATCTCCATTGGAAGCAGCCACAAGCCATGCAGTGTCTTCATGCTGAGCTCCCCAGATGTGTACCTAGAGGGGAAATTGTGGTAACTTGCTCAAGTGCTGTCACAGCAGCAGGACTGACTCAGCTAGGTCCTGCTGCGTCAGCAGCTGAGCCACAACCCGACACCCTGGGAGCATGCCAGGGAAGGGGCTGTTCCGCTTGTCACGGCCCATTGCCCCCTGGTTCCTGGGAAGGTGAGCAGCTGCCTCCCGTGCATGCCCTCACCCTCCTGCCTTCCCCAGGTGCGGCAGCCTGTTCACCCTCACCATGGAGCAGGAGCTGGAGGGCTGCAGGCGCCAACGCTCGGCTGTCAGGATTTTGGAGTTCCCCCGAGGGGCCGGGCCCTGTGTGGAGCCGTACGTACAGGGGGGACATGCAGCTCCAAGCTGCATCTCCAGGGCACCAGCCCATGGCTTGTCCATGGTCAATGGGATCCCGTGGAACTCACTGCTGCAGGATAATGAGACCAATAGTTCCATACATTTGAAAAGAGGCTCAGGCTGATATATGATCAGCAGCAGCAATGGCACCCAAGGCTTGCAGTCCCCCTGCTTCACTTTTATTTATGTGCATGGCCATAGCACTCAAAAGCCCTGGCCAGGATCAGGACCTCATTGTGCCATGTGCTCTACAGAGCCTGCCTGGTCACTAGCTGGGGGCAGGAAGGGATTCCCCCATGGGACCATGGTGCCCAAACAGCCAAGAGTTTCACCCACCTTTCCTCAGCAGCACCTAGCACTGGAGACAGGCGCCCAGGCTGGGTGGGACTGGGCCATGTGCTGGGCCCTTGGCCTTATACTTTGATTCCCACCTTAATTAATAATAATAATGATTATAATGGTGTGCTGTTGTCTCTGTGCCTTCCCACCTGTGGGGCTCTCATACCCAATGTCCTGTCTCTCTGCAGTCTCTCACCCCTGCTCCAAGCTCTGGCTCCCGGTGAGCTCCCGGACAATGCAGGATTCCTCCCCTGGATTCTCAAGCGGATGCTAGAAGGAAACAACCTCACGTTCCTGCTGCTGTGTTTGACCCTGCCAGGTACTTGCCCCACTACTGCCCATCATACCCACTCCGCCCCAGGGCAGGGATTGGTGTCTGGGGCCCATGCACCAGTGCTGAGTCTGCCCCCTGCTGGGCAGACCCTGGAACACCCACGTTCAGTTAGCAGAATCGCCCCATCTGCCAGCCAGACTCCCCGAGGACACAGCCAGGACATGCCTGCAGCTGGAGGTACAGGCCAGTCCAGATGCAGCAGATTTACAGCGAGCACCTGGCTCTGGGTGGAGCCAGAAGGAGCCATGCTGGCCTGTTCTATGATCCTACAGCTAGAGGCCAGTCAGGAAAGGAGAGAAGGGCATGGGATTAATGCTCCCCATCCCCTTGCACTGCTCTGGACAGAGGGGCCACCGCCTAGTGCTGCACTGCGTGGGGTGGGGCTAACCCCTGGCCCTAGGGCTGCTCTGAGTGGAGGGGATTAGTGCCAGCAGCTCCAAAGGCCAATGTGTTCGTCTGACTCTGCCATGCACTGAAAGATGCCCAGGGGTTTGCCTGGGTTGCTTCCTTTCTACCTCCCTCCACAGGCCTCCCTGTGTCTCTGCACTGCCCTTCCTGCACTCATCTAACTCTGGCTTTGGGGGCCCCATCATGCAGCTCCACCCCTGTGGGTGCGAGAGTCTTCTCCTCTGCAGCAGACTCCCTGCAGCTCTGAGTTCATCTCAGCCCTTGGTAGGACAGAAGCACTGCCCCCAGTGACTGTCCCCCTTTCACTGTAATGTAGTAGCTGCAGAGGCCATCCAGGCAGTGAGGGTGAAAGACGCTCTGCAAAGTAAAGGCAGAGAGTTTGCTTCAGGGCTTCCCGTCGATCTGCTCGCCGGGCACCTGTCTGTGCCACGGCAGCTCGTCTCTGCCTTCTCGGGTGCACCTGACATCTTATCATGCCGGGTCCTGAGTGCGGGGAACTTTTGCATTCACATGCAGCAACCACAGAGCCCCCTCCCCCAACATCTGAGAGTCCTGTCCCGTGTTGGTCCCTGGGCCCCATTTCTTGGTGATCCCAGATAGATTCCCCAGTCCTTGGCCTGTGATCTCTCCGATCTTTTTCCCGGAAGTTGGCCATGGTCTGACATTCCCACTGGGAGGGCAGGAAGGTTCCCTGCTGCTCAGAGCATGGTGCCAGCTTGTTAGCTGGGAGCCAGTGTCGGAAAGACTCCACAGAGTTCGCACCTGCTATTGCCTCCAGTCCCTGCATGGCCAGCCTGGGCACAGTGACTTCATGTTGGTCTGCAGGGATTGTTGCTGTAATTCAGCCCTCAGGCATGGCTAACTGGACTGATTATTCCAGCAAATTCCCCTCCCACCCATCCTCCCACTGCCCTCTTTCCTGTCTCCCTGGCCTCTGCTCCCTGTAGTCTCTAAGTGTATGACATTGACTCCTGCTCCAGCAGCCCTCATGGCTGAATACTCTCTGGTCTTGTAGATGCCTCTGGAGAAGAGATCCTGTCAGCCCTTTCGCTGGCTGAGCAGGTGAGGGGACTGGCCAAGAAGGTCTCACCAACCCACTGGGATCCTGCTAAAGCAGCTTGGAGGCAGAGGGCAGAGATCCGAGAGCTGAGGGCCCAGCTCCTCTCCAGCAGCAGCCGCACAGTGCAGGAAAGTGTGATCAGCCAGCTGAGGAGAGTGCTGAGGGACCTGCAGGTGGGAGAAGCAGACACACTGCACATCTAGCTGTACACTGCTGGGACACTCGTGCCCGAGCTGGCTAGCCCAGAGCTGTGCGCCATTTTTCACAACACAACCAATGATTTAGATAATGGGATAGAGAGTACACTTATAAAGTTTGTGGACTATACCAAACTGGGAGGGGTTGCAAGTGCTTTGGAGGATAGGATTAAACTTCAAAATAATCTGGACAAACTGGAGAAATGATCTGAAGTAAATAGGATGAAATTCACTAAGGACAAATGCAAAGTACTCCACTTAGGAACAATCAGCTGCACACACAAAATGGGAAATGATTGCCTAGGAAGGAGTACTGTGGAAAGGGATCTGGGGGTCACAGTGGATCACAAGCTAAATATGAGTCAACAGTGCAACGCTGTTGCAAAAAAAGTGAACATCATTCTGGGATGTATTGGCAGGAGTGATGTAAGCAAGACAGGAGAAGTAATTCTTCCGCTCTACTCTGCACTGATTAGACCCCAACTGGAGTATTGTGTCCAGTTCTGGGCACCACATTTCAGGAAAGATGTGGACAAATTGGAGAAAGTCCAAAAGAGAACAACAAAAATGATTAAAGGTCCAGAAAACATGACCTATGTGGGAAGATTGAAAAAATTGGGTTTGTTTAGTCTGGAAAAGAGAAGACTGAGAGGGGCCATAACAGTTTTCCAGTACATAAAAGGTTGTTACAAGGAGGGAGAACAACTGTTCTCCTTAACTTCTGAGGATAGGGCAAGAAGCAATGGTCTTAAAATAAAGAAGCAAGGGAGGTTTAGGTTGGACATTAGGAAAAACATCCTAACTGTCAGGGTGGTTAAGCACTGGAATAAACTGCCTAGGGAGGCTGTGGAATCTCTGTCATTGGAGGTTTTAAAGAGCAGGTTAAACACCAGTGCTTCAGCAGGGGCATCAGTTCGCAATGCATTCTGGGATGGAGGAACATCACCCATCCAGACAGCAACATAATAATGTTCTCATCTACCTTCTGAGAAGACAGCCTTGTGCCAGGCCAGGGGTGTGGGACTCTGGGCTGTCTAGGTTACTAGGTTCTAGGGGTGGATACAGCGTAGGTAGATGCACCATTCTGCAGGTAGCACAGTGTATGCCTAGTTATGTGTGTGTGCCACATGGCTGTATGCATGCACAGTGCTGGATGCAGATGGGTTGGCATGGGTTACGTGGCTGTAACACTCTGGGCCTAAGTCTGAACAGAAATAAAGTTCTTGTCTTGTAAACCTGAGTGTAAGCGTCCCCAGGTGTCCCTTGCATCTCCTCAGGGCAGAAGGAGTTAGCCAGAGACTGGGGAGAGTTTGTCTCCTGGAAGGGGTTAGGATCTCCAATGCTCCAGGGCTGTGCAGTCAGCAGATGCCGGAGGTGCTGTGGATGATGGGCTTACCTAGGACTTGGCTTGCTGCCCCCCATGGACAGCATGGTCCCTGTGGTGGTGACACACAGCACAATGAGGTCTCCCGGGCCTGTTTTCCAGGTGCTGAAGAACCAGAGCTGGGAGAAAAAGAAAGAGATGTCGGAGGCATTTGAAGGAAGTGGGAGCTGTCATCTTGAAGCCAAGGTGAATCCGGGATTCCAGCTGCTCATCACTGCCCTCCAGATGCAGAGCAGTGGCACAGGGACGTGACACAGGACAAGGAACATCCTCTCCCCCTAGCAGCAGAGTCGTAGGAGCAGGCATAAGTGATACAGATAAAGTCAGAACCCATCCCCAAGCCAAGCAGAGAGCTAGCTTGTACAGTAACTGTGCAGCTCCCTGCTGGGCCAGCTCCGGGTCTCATCCCAGCACTTTATGCACCATCTTCAGAATCTGGGCCACACAGTCAGGGAAAGCCCACACTCAGCACTGTGTCAGAGGTTGGACAGCTGGGGCCCTGCACAGCTGGCCAGCTGCTGGCTGGGATGAGCTTGAGATGGCTGTGCTTCATCGCTGCGGGGGACTGAGGATGGGGGCTGGGAAGCAGAGTCTGTGTGGGAGGGGCTGCAAGTGAGGGGGAATGCTCTGTCAGAGGTCCCCAGTGTTACAGCGGATCCTGGCCCCATTTAGCTTTAACAGGGCCCTGTCTGATGTGTCCCACACTACAGGGTCGAATCCCATTGTGGCTGGGCAGGGACGATCAGCTTACAAACCAGGCGCTGACAGATATGCTGAGAAGCCAAGAGTTCCTGGACAGAGGCAACTCTAAGCCAGATGGAGACGTCCCAGGTGTGGGAGCAATTTCAGGACTGGGTCTGTCCTTGCCTAACCTGGGGGTGCATTGGCTGCTAACATGATCTGAGGGCTCAGATAACTTGTTAAATACCCAGAGAATGACCCCTCCTTGGGGTCAGCCTCACCCCACACCAGCTGAGAGGGCACCAGCGAGGCTGGGTGCAGTCCAGCTTGCTGTTAAGGGGACCTACAGTGGAGAAACTTCTGGGTCTGGACCTCCTTGGGGCGGAAGGGGGGCTGGGAGAGGGGCTTGTGTGGCTGTGTTGGGGGTTCTGCTTCTTTTTCCCCAGCATCCCCTCCCCTGCAGATCCTCCTCCCTCTTTTCCTGCAGGGTTTGTTCCCATCTGTAATGACAAAGGAGGCGAAGCTGCCACAAGTAGCCCCGGGTGGTTTGGCCGAATCCCCCCGAGCATGGGAGCAGTGACAGGGGAGAAGCCTTTGCAAAGTGGAGCCAGCAGAACACAGGAACCAACCTGCACTGCTAGTGTGACTGGCGCGGTGAGTGCGATGCACTGGGGCTAGAAGAGAGGCCCACGGACACCACAAGGCAGCCTGGAGTAGAAGGTCTCCCTGTCTGCACAGATTTGATTTCCCTAGACGTGACTTACATCATGGTCACAGGGCTGGCTGCAGCTCCCTCTTGAGCCTTCCCCTCTCCTGGGGTGGGATCCTGTAATTCTCCTACTCTCAGGATAGGCCCTGGGCTACAACAGCCAACAGGTAACAACTGCAGGTCCAACTGGGTTCAGGCACCTGCAGTTCTTCCCTCCAGGAGGCTGTGGCCAGGGGCACACGGGAATCAGACAGCCTGCTTAAAACCAAACATTATTGATTTTAACAGCAGGAACAAAGTGTTAGAGAAAAAGGATTTTAAAACGACAGGCAGCCTACACATGTCTCTCACTGAAAGCCCTCCCATCCCAATGATCACTGAGCAAGCTGAACTCCTGTGTGGGTCCTGGGTGTCAGTCTGGCCCCCTAAACAGCTCCCCTACCCCCATCCCCTCTCTTGAGAGCAGGGAGGGAGGGGGCTTTTCAAACATGCCACAGTCCTTTAGATCTTCTGGCTCCAACACCTTTTCCCATCCTGTCATTGTCTCTTCACAGCCCACAAGTGTTTGTGGAGAAATGGTTTATCTGGAGCCATTCTTCTTCCTGACTGATGTCAGCCCCACTACTATTCTCTATTATAGACTGGATTTCATCCAGCAGGAACTCAAAGTGCTTCACAAACAATACATATACCATTGCTGCAATGCAGCCACCTCTGGGGTGGAATATGGCAGGTATCTATCTGCACACAGCAACGCTACACAATAATTTAGACACAAGGGGTTCAATTTTCCTCTCACTTACCCTAGTGTTAGACTTTTGATTTCCATGGTGTTACTTTTGACTTACCCCATTCTATATGAGAGGAGACTCAGGCCCTGCAAAGCGAAAAGGACCAACGTAGCCAAAGGAACTATCAGGAGATTTCGGGGAGGTGGCGTTTAATCACCCAAGCAAGATCAGGCCCCAACAGGACTCCCACCACAGAGTTCATGCATCATCCAAAAGCCCCAATACTGTGTAGTTCTAATGAGCTGGAGCCTGTCCAGGCTGCAGGCATAGCCAGCCTGGCTTCCTGCTCAGCCCTCAGCCAGACTGCCAGGAGCCCCAGCTGGGCACAGAATTGCGGGCTGTTCTCTGTCTGACTTGGAAGGGAACCGACCCCCCTGCTGTTCTGCCTGGATTGACCTTTCCAAGAGATCTGCTCTCACTACATTTCACATAGTCCAGCCTCTGCTGCCACGAGGGCTCTCAGTGCACTGCATCTCCTGCCCAGCCGGCACTACCATACTGGGCTGGGACACTGTGATCTTCCAGCTGGGCCCAGCTCTCACTGTATCCTACAGCCACTCCAGCTGGGAGAAGCTACACGCAGAGCCAGTGCTCTTACCCCTGCTGGGAGAGGCAGGGATTGCAGTAACTCTGAGAGCCTTTCCCCCCAGGTCCCTACAGCACCTCCTGCTCAGAGAAATTGGGCTGCAGCCCTCCTACAGGCAGTGAGTTCACACCATTTCATGCAGGCAGGGAGCTGAGCTCTCCCCCACAGATGGCGCATTATTGTACTGGGGGGAGCCCCAGAGCAGTGTGGCTCCCCACAGGGCGGCTGAGAGCTGGAGGGGAATGGAGAAGCCTTGGGAAATCTCTGCTCCATGACCGGAGAACAGAGGGGACCGACTGGGCAGTCAAGGAGGGAATGGGGTCGGGGGTGAAACCTGGTGAGTCAGAACTTGTTCCTCAGCCCTGCGCCCAGCTGAGCTTCCTGCCTCAGCCCAGGCTGGTAATGGTGCGAGCTCCTGGGGGCTGTGCCTTGAAGAGGTATAAAGGGCTTAGAGTGTCCTGCCTGTGCTGCATCCATCCCACATCATGTCTGCCCTGTGCTATGCACGGTCCACCCCATGCTGCACATGTGCAGGAGGTGAAGAGGACCATAGCAGTCTCGTACACTATACTGCAGCCCTCTGCCCTCACTCAGCCACCCTGCACCCCCCTGTCCTCAATTCAGGAAACCTCCGGGGTGTTTCACTGGGGAGGACATGCAGGCTTGTCCCCACTCCTCTTTCTTCCCTGTTTTGTCTCTCCCTGGTGTTAGGACAAGGTCCCTCTGGCACAACACTCGGTGCAACCCCCCAGTGCTCCCAAGCATGCAAATGCCAATGCAGAGGGATCCCAAGCTGCCTGCCTGGCTCCCTCTCTGCACCCCAGCGCTGCAGCTGTGATTGGCCTGCGTAAGAGAGTCACTTCCTGGGTGCCTTCTCGTGTCTGCTCTCTGCCAGGTGGGGAGCTGGGCCTCTCAGCAGCACCCGGCTCTGGAGCTGCAGTTTGCCATGGCCAAGGCCAGGAGGCAGTGTCTGCGGGAGCAGCACCAGCGGCTCATCCAGCAGGAACTGCTGAAGCTGGAGGAGGAGCTAGCAGGCAACCAGGAGGTGAGTGGGGAATAGGGTTACCATATTTCCACAATCAAAAAAGAGGACACGGGGGGGGGGAGGAGGTCCCACTCTAGCCCCGCCCCTGCCCTG